TGAGCAAGCAACCACTGCATTACTTCAAAAATACTTTCAATATGTATATATATAGGATCATGACTAAAATAAAAGAGTTATTGATGATAATTACTCAACATGCTTGAAAAAACATTGTAATTAATATCTTCATCATAATCTTTATGCATAAAATTTCTTTTCTTATGAAGTATTCCATTAGGCAGGCTACCAAAATACTAAAATTTTAAGTCATCGATCTTACCTTTATAAGGAACTTATAGATTTGTTTTGTGGATTGTACATCATCAGTATGATAATCCACCATGCTTCTTGAAAATGAGAATCCAGTCCCCACAGGCCAATCCAAAAAGATAATGCTGGAGATCTAATAATCCAATTAAATTTCTTTAAAAAAATAATATAAATGACATGAATATAGAGGAAAAGGGTTTAGTTCTTAATCACACACCTTTGTCCATGAATAAGGATTTGAAATTAAAGTAGGCAAAGTTCCATCATATGCTTTTACATTAAACTTAAGAGGGCCTGCATACAACAACCATATAGAAAATGATGAAATCTTACATTTGTAACATATGATTGCCACCTGAAATTTTTCTTTCGTTCAGACATTGCCAAAATTGCAAACCATAAATAGGAACTTGAACAGAAAATAGCAAAAATGGTAATCACCAATATTTAAGGCGAAGCCAATAAAACCAGAGCAGTAAGGGCCACCAACAAGCCAAAGGATGAGTGGATCATCTTTGGGCTTCCTATCAGACTCTACAAAGTAGTAGAAGAGCTCTGCACCGCTCTTTTCATTGACGGTCACATAGCTGCTTCCAACAGAGGAGTAACATAAAAATATTAGACAAAAATAACCATCAGACACATAATATTAGGTAGAGGACTTACCCAGTTTCAAGATAGAAAGGGAGTGAGCCATTGAAGCCTGGAAGATGAGTGACTCTGCTTGCATGCAATGTGTTACAATAATGAGGAAATATACAGAGATTGAAGAAGAGAAGTAATAGCATCTGCATAATGCTGAAGCTAATAGGCATGCCTCAGGAAGCAGGGCCGAAATGTGAGAGAGAAACAGGCTCTTCCATCCTCTTTGTCAATTAGTATCTTTATAATCAGCTTAAATATTTTGTTGAGTATAAATACTAAGTTAAATCCCTATTCTACTTTAAAGTTTAAACTGCTATTGTTGTTCTGTTCACATAAAAGGGAGGCAATAGATTAGCTTCGGGAGTCGGAGTCACTATTTTATGTATAGTGCAGGTCGTCAAGTAGGCATCGGGAATAACAACAAATAAAATATTTGGATGATATATTTTTTTTTTTATAAAAGAAGATGTTAGATATGGCTGAGAGATAAAAGCAGCGCCGGAATGTGAGTAAATTTCTTATCTTTCTCACTCTTTTGTAATTCAATCATGTCAGTTAATATCATTTTTTATTAA